GCCTCCCAGTGGACACTTTCTGAGCCAGCCTTTTATACTCAGGATACGAGCGTAAGGGGGTGTGTGCAGAGGTGTGGGGGGACCCCTGAGCCCTGGAACCCTTAAGCAAGAAGTGGGAGAGGGAGCTCCATGGGGCCAGAGAAGGGAATGTGGGCTTGGTGACGGCAGGCCCTGGCTCCCGTGGCGGTTCACTCACAGGGTGGCCGCGGTGTGGTCCTCAGCACCAGCGGTGACAGGCGGGGTGATTGCTGAAGGCTGGGGTTCATGGAATAGTCTGCTGTGTGGTCAACCTCAGGGCAGCCCAGGGCGGCCAGCGCCCCAGGTGTGCAGACTCTGTCCCGGCGGCTGGAATTGGCTTCAGCCGACAACAGCCACCAGGGGGCGCTGGTGACCCGCAGGGCTCTCAGGGCCGCGTCCCTTTGTTCCCTTTCCTTGCTGTCTGATGTTGAGAAGCCACCAGGGGTGTCCCTGCTACATGGCCTCATGCTGGGGCATCCCTGAGGTGTGGGTGTCGCGGGGTCTCAGGGAATCACCGGGTGGGGCGAGTCAGATTTGGTGGCCGCCTGCGCCTGCCAGCTGGGTGCGGGGGGCTCAGCAAAGGGACACTGGTTCCTGCCAGCTCTTCTGTCTGGGAGAAAGCTGATGACCCCCAGCTCTCGTCCTGAACCCAGACACTTCAGCTCCTCCCGGCGTGTCCCTGGTTCCTGGAGGATTTTTTTTTTTTTAAAAAAGGACCTTCATTCCCTGGAAAAGCGATTTTGAGGTGTGCTGATGGAGAACACAGCTGCCCGAGTGTGCTCTGCCCCCGGGGGACCACCCACCTGTTAGGCCACAGGGTCAAAACCACCCGGGGCTCGTTCCACTTGCCTTACAAATAAAACAAAGCAAATGAAAACACGAGAAAGCCCAGCACTGTCTCGGTGAAAAGCGCTCAAAAAATAAGTTTTATTTCATCCCTTCAGTTTGGTGTTTTTCTACAGTGCTTCAAGTTACTTCTATGTTTCTTCTCCATGGAATGTAAAAATCAAATTAGCTTTTAAATTATAGATGCCTTTACTTATTAAATTAAATTTATTTTTTAAAATATGTCTTTATTGGTTTCAGAGAGAGGAAGGGAGAGGGGAGAGAGAGAAACGTCAATGGTGAGAGTCACTGATCGGCTGCCTCCTGCACGCCCCCTGCTGGGGGTTGAGCCCACAGCCCGGGCCTGTGCCCTGACCGGGAATCGAACCGCGATCTCCTGGATCCTAGGTCGATGCTCAACCACTGAGCCACACCACATGGGCTAATTCTATTTTTCAATTACACTTTACATTCAATATTATTCTGTGTTAGTTTCAGGTGTACAGCGCAGTGGTTAGACAATCATATACTTGACAAAATGACCCCCTGATATTTCAAGTATCTGTGTGGCACCATACATATTATTACAATATTATTGGCTATATCCCCTATGCCGTGACTATTCTGTGACTACCAATCTGTACTTCCCAATCCCTGTCCCTTTTTCACCCAGTCGCCCAAACCTCCGCCCCTCTGGTCACCATCAGTCTGCTCCCTGGTTCTCTGTACCTATGAGCCTGTTTCTGTTTTGTATATTCATTTATTTTGCTCTTTAGATCCTACATATAAGTGAAATCATACCGTATTTGTCTTTGTCTTTGACTAATTTCACTGAGCACAATACCCTCCAGGTCCATCCATGCTGTTGCAAACAGGAAGATTTCATTCTTTTTTATGGCCTAGTAATATTCCACTGTATGGATGTACCACAGCTTCTTTATCCACCCGTCTATCATGGACACTTGATTTGCTCCTTTATCTTGGCCATTGTATATAATGCTGCTATGAACATAGGGGTGCATATATTCTTTCTGATTAGTGTTTTGGATTTTTTCAGATATATACCCAGAAGTGGGATTGCTGAGTCAAATGGCAGTTTCATTTTTAATTTTTTGAGGAACCTCCACACTGTTTTCCACAGTGGCTGCACCAGGCTGCATTCCCACCAGCAGGGCACCAGGGTCCCCTTTCTCCACACCCTCCCCAGCACGTGTCATGTGTGGCCTTATTGATGGAGCCTTTCTGACAGATGTGAGGTGATATCTCATTGTGGTTTTAATTTGCATCTCTGATGATTAGTGACACTGAGCATCTTTTCATTTGTCCCTTGGCCATCTGTGTGTCCTCTTTGGAGAAGCATCTAAATTCCAGATGCCTTTAAATGGATGTCAGGGACCAACACAAGAGGAAACTTATTTTTAGAAGACAGGAGTGGTCGGCTAGCTTTGCTGCAGGCACGTGAATGTGAGGCCCAATTTTTTTGGTTAATCGTCACCTGAGGATATTTTTTCCATTGGTTTTCAGAGACAGTGGGAGGAAGGCAGAGAGAGAGAGATAGAAACATCAATACGAGAGAGACACGTCGATTGGTTGCCTCCCCCATGTGCCTCCACTGGGGCTGGTGGTGGAATCTGTGGCCCTTCCGTGTGCCAGCCACGCTCCAACCACTGAGCCACACAGCCCAGGGCACGTGAGCGGGAGGGGCATCTACGTGCTGCTCCTGTAGCGGAGCCTCTCAGGAAGCCGCCTNCGTGGCCCTTCCGTTGGCCAGCCACGCTCCAACCACTGAGCCACACAGCCCAGGGCACGTGAGTGGGAGGGGCATCTACGTGCTGCTCCTGTAGCGGAGCCTCTCAGGAAGCCGCCTTGCAGACAGGATTGTAGTGAAGTCACTGGGCAGATAGACACGTTCTGGGAAAAGTGGACACAGACAGTTTTTCTATTTAAATGTTTGTAGCAAAAAAGACTCGTAACAAGTTCTTTATCAGCTTTGACAGTGTTTTTCTAACTGGCTCTGACAGCCTCCGAAGATAATGGGGCAGCAATTCAAGTTCAATGGAAGTGATTCCGATTATAATGAATTCCAGTGTTTGTGAAGAGTCGAGTGTCTCAGCTGCTAAACGCGTGAGGACTCTCGGTCCGTGGCAGAGGTTTTCATAATCAGAGTACTTTGCCCGGGTCGGGTTTTAACGGAGACGATTTGAAAATCAGAGAGGATATCGCGAAAAGGGGGAGACCAGCCCGGAAAAGGGGAGCGGAGGCCATGTGATGGCAGGGCCCAGCGAGCCCCTTCACTTTCTGCTTGACCTTTGGAACCGACATCCTGAGCTGCCTCCTCGGGACGACTGCGGGTCACGGAGATCTCTAAGCATTTCCTTTGAGTGGTGACAGGAGTCAGGCTGACCTGCATTTTTCTCTCTTCATCGAGAATTTCTGTGTGACTCACGCTGGCCTCTTACCCCATAGAGGGCTCCAGGGGGGGGAACAAGGCCAGACCTATGCCCGGCCCGGGTCCCTGGTGGTGATTTCAGGGTGCAGAGGTCAGTTTGGCACAAGAAAAGTAGCACGTTTCATCGATTTAGATCTAGAAGTGAGCTGAGAACACTGTAATTGGGTGTCATAATAAGAAAGGATGTTGAGCTTCAGGTTTTCTGTGGGCCTACGAAAGCCCAACCCTCCCTCTGATTGCAACTAAAATGCTGGACAAGCCCTGACCGGTGTGGCTCAGTTGGTTGGAGCATCTTCCCAAGCACTGGAGGGTCGTGAGTTCGATCCCTTGTCGGGGCACGTGCGGGAGGTGCCCAGTCGATGTTCCTCTGTCGCATCAGTGATTCTCTCTCTCCCTCTAAAAGTCAGTTAAAAAAAGCTGTGCCCATAACTATTTGATAGGTAGCAGAAAATTTTAACCTGGTTTAGACCTCCGACTTTCTCTTCGATAATTAGCATATATCAAAATAAAGGCTGTGGCTGCATTTCATTTTCTTTGCAAATTTAAACTCTTAGTAAAATTTGGATTACACTAAATGAGTGATTTTTAACGGGGGGGGGGGAGCTTGTGCCCCAGGTGACACTGGCACTGTCTGGGGACATTTTTGGCTGTCCCACTGCTGCAGGCACGTCCTTTAGATGCTGCTAAACATCCCACAACACACAGGACAGCCCCCAGCAAAGAATGACCCGGGTGCCAGGTGGGAGCTACACTTACCGGGGGATCACTTCCTAAGGTATATAAATGTCTGACCACTGTGCTGTACACCGGAAACTCATATAATATTCAATGTCCACTGTAACTGGAAAAAAAAATTAAAAAAAATTACAAAACATCAAGTGTTGGGACTGAGAAACCCAGCTCTAAGTAGACTTATCCGTGTTATTTAGTTGATATAATAGCAGATTGTGATCGAAGACCCACATTGGGCTCCCCAGCTTTTCTTCATTTATTTATTTATTGATTTAAATTGCATTCCCTTTTAAAAAAGTACTATTTATTATACTTGATATACAGTATTTTGTTACTCTCAGGTGTGCAGCATAGTGACCTGACATTTACATACCTTGCGATGTGACCCCCACAGGAAGTCTAGTGACCCCCTGTCGCTGCACAAAGTTGTTAGAATGCTGCTGACGAGTTTCCTGTTGTGGCTCCATAACTTTGAAAAATATATGTTTTTATTGATTTTAGAGAGAGAGGAGGAGAGAGAGAGAGAGAGAGAAACATCGATGTGAGAGTGAAACATCTACCACCTGCCTCCTGCACGCCCCCTACTGGGCATCAAGCCCGAAACCCGGGCACGTGGCCTGGCAAGGAATGGAACTGCGGCCTCTCTGTGGACGGGCCGGCACTCAACCGACTGAGCCACACTGACCAAGGCTCTGTAGCTTTTATTTTTATTTATATTTTATTTTTTAAAAATATATCTTTATTGATTTCAGAGAGAGGAAAGGAGAGGGAGAGAGAGAGATAGAAACATCAATGATGAGAGAGTCATTGATCGAGCCCACAACCTGGGCCTGTGCCCTGACCGGGAATCGAACTGTGACCTCCTGGTGCACAGGACCACACTCGACCATTGAGCCACACCGGCCAGGGCTGAAGACACAGAGTGTGCAGATATTCTCAGTTTAAATGGGTTCTCACCTGCGTCCATTTCTTCCAGGCGCTGGCGCACCTGCACTTGATAGAATACGTGGGCGAACAGACCACTCTGCTAATAAAGGTACAGCCCGTGTGGCAATGGGCTCCAGCCTCGGTTCCTTTGATTTTGTAAAGAAAGAAAATCCTGGGAAGAATAGGTCCCGCTAATTATGTAAAAAAGCGCCGCCGGGGACCTGTTTTATCCTGGGCAGCCTAGAGATGAAGGGAGACTTTTTCAAAAACATATATAATTACGGAGCCTGTAATTTTGCTCTTAGCCTTCGGTTGAAACCCTTCTGAGAGAGAGAGCAGTCGAGATACAGTCTCAGTGAGTGACTGTGAGAGGTCCCGGCCCCGGGGTGTGTGTGACCAGGGTGACAGTGTCACCGTGTGAGCCACCAGGAACGGGCGCCTGCTCCCCCGCCCACCGCTGGTGGCCTTGGGCGTGGCTGGGACATGCTCCCCTCCGTGACCTGCGGAGCCTGGTCAGGCTCCTGGCAGGGTGGGGACAGCCCGGGCTGGCCCAGTGCGCACACCTGGGGTCAGAGGAGGGACAGCCAGCCCTGCAGGACCCCCCCAGCGTCCCGTGTCCTGGCGTCAGATCCCGAGCGCGCGTGATTGACATGCGGCTGTGACACCCAACACCGCTATTGTCTCCCCCCAGATGGTCCCAGAGGACCGGCGCCTCGCAGCTGCCATCGTCCTGGTGGTCTGGGTCTCGGCCATCGCGTCTTCCCTGATCGACAACATTCCCTTCACGGCTACCATGGTGAGCTGCCCACCTCCTCTGGCCCCCAGGGCCCCGCGCTCGGCCTGGACTCAGTCTGGGCTCACCCTTGGTGCCACAGGAGGCCGCGTGGAGCCCTGTCCCCTGGCTGCACCCCAGGCCCAGCGGGCGACTGCAGAGCCCGGTGGCTGGCTGGGGGCCCAGGGCCTGTGGCCACGCGTCCTGGTCGGCCCCACCGACAGCTGCTGCTCTCATGGGCGAGGCAGTCTTTTCATTTGCTTTTATTTTTTATTTTTGTTAATACTCACCTGAGGATGTTTTTCCCCATTGATTTTTATTTATTTTTTAAAAATATATCTTTATTGATTTCAGAGAAAGGAAAGAAGAAGGAGAGAGAGAGAAACATCAATGATGAGAGAGTCATTGATCGGCTGCAGCCTGCAACCTGGCTATGTGCCCTGACTGGGAATCGAACCCTGATCCCTGGATCCCAGGCTGACGCTCAACTGCTGAGCCACGCCTGGCCGGGCCCCCATTGATTTTTTAGAGAGTGGAAGGGAGGGAGGGAGAGAAACATCGATGTGAGAGAGACACATTGATCGGTTGCCTCCTGTGCTCACTCCAGCCGGGCAGGGACTCGAACCCGTGACCCTTCGGCATGGGGGTGGCGCTGTAACCACTGAGCCACACCGGCCAGAGCTTCATTTTGCTTTTAGCGAAAACTGGAGGACACCCAGAGACAGAGGCGGGGTGAAGGCCTTCCTCCCCTGTTCCCTGGGAAAGCGGAGGGCGCTGTCCAGCCGGTGGCTCTGGTGCTGGACACAGACCGGACCCTGGCTGGTCTGTGTGCTGCCGACCTGGCCGGAGTGGGGGCGCGTGTGAGAGGCCCCCTCGGGGCTGACCAGCCCCCCTCCACGGTGACCTCTGACATCACCCGGCTCAGGGGCAACGGACAGACCCCTTCGGTTTAAGAACGGAGCGTGGGACCGGGAGGGACACCCTGGTGGGGCTTCCCACGGGCCCAGCTCCCCGTGGGTGCTGGGCGCCCCCCAAGGCCCTGTGGGCCCCAGGCCGCGCTGGGCTCCCGGGGGCCATCCTGGGCTCCCTCCCGTCGGGCGCTGGGGAGGCGCCTTGGGTGCTGGCGACAGTCCCGGCGCGGCGGCCCCCCGGGCTTCTGGGGTGACGTCGGTGTGACATCAGTGTGACGTCGGTGTGACGTCAGTGTCCTTTCCCTCCGCAGGTCCCCGTGCTGCTGACCCTGAGCCAGGACCCCGAGGTCAGCCTGCCCGCGCCGCCGCTCATGTACGCGCTGGCCCTGGGCGCCTGCCTGGGAGGTAAGGGCTGCGGGGCGTGACGTCATCGCTGCGCGGAGAGCGTGACGTCATCTCTGCACGCTGAGTGTGACGTCAGCGTGGTCATAGCTGTGCTGAGTGTGATGCCATTGCCACACTGCGTAGTGTCATCGCTGCGCTGAGCGTGACGTCATTGTCACACGGTGCGCGTGACGTCATCGCTGCGCTGTGAGTGTGACGTCAGGGCCGCCCGAGAGCCCGGATGGCTTCCAGAACAGAAGCCCGCCTCCAGCTTTGGCTGGAGCAGCTCTGAAGCCCCCCAGCCCCTCCGTGCGCCTGTCACCCCCTCTCTGCAGGGCCCCCCGACATCCTGAGCCCCGGCCTGAGGACGGCTGTGACTCAGCCTCATAGGCAGCGATTCCCCCCCCCACCCCCGGGCCCACGCGGCTCCCGCACTTCACCGGTGCCCACAGGGCTCGTGTTCAGAAACGTGTGGAACCAGGAGCGGTCCTCGGCCGCAGGCTCTCTTCCCTCCTTGAGAAGTTGGGGTGAAATGCTGACGCGGCGCCCGGGGGGGCCCAGTGGTTGGCGCGGCGGCGGAGGGGTCGCAGGTCCCTTCCCGGCCAAGGGCAGGTGACGCTGCCGCTGGATGCCGGGGGCAATAGGGAGGCGGCCGATCGATGTGTCTCAGACCCCCCCCCCTAAAAATATCAGTGGAAAAATACCCTGGGGTCAGTCCTAACAACACAAATGATGCCACTGGCCTGAGACGTGGAGATATTAACCTGAGAGTAAGAAGGAAAGAAATATCTTTGAGGGTGAGGGTGTTGGAGAACCTGAAGAGTGGATCAGAGGGGGTGTCAGGAGGCACCGAGGTCTGGCGAGCACCGCAGGGCTGGCCCCGCCTGTCCTGGTCCTTGGGGGCCCCTAGGTCCTCATGCTTAGGGGCCGGTCACCGTTCGGAACACGAGAGGTTGTGAAAAATCCCAGAAAAAGACGCCAGATGCGGTTCAGGTGGTTGTTGGTCCCTCCGGGCCTGCCCGGATCATCCGGCTCTTTGCTCTTGGATTGATCTCTGGCTACGACACCGACACCTTCCTGCCACCTTCCTGCCGAGGTCATCTCCCTGTCCGCAGAGGGGGATTTTGTGCTTCGGTGGGGTCGCCGTGATTTCTGGAGGCAGCGCATCCGCCTCGTTCAGCCACCGGGGACCCAAGGACAGAGCTGTTGACACGCCGGCCTGTGCTCACCCCGCCTTCTCGTCAGCGGGGGAAGCAGAGTTCAGGGCGCTGGGGCCGTGACCTCTGGGCGGGACCATGTTCAGGCGGCCTCCCCGAGCGCCTGTTGTCACCCGCTGTTGCGCATGAACAGGGACAGTCGCCCAAGCTCAGATGATAACACGCGGGTGTTCTCAAGGCCCCACGCCCGGCGTGCTCAGGTGGCACCAGGCGGAGACTGGAGGGGAGGCATCGGAAGCTCCGGGGGGGGCTGTGGGGCTGGGTCTCAAAGGACACATCGGGGTGACAGCACCCAGGGGAGGCTGCTGGGGGCCACCACTGCCGTGGAACTTGTACACTGCCATCTGCTCGGGACCCCCTTCATCTGCCTCCCCGCCTCCCCATATCTCTCCTGGGCCCTCTCCGATTCTCTGGGATCCCTCCAACTCCCCTCTGGGGGTCTCTGATTCCCTGGGGTCTCTCTGCCCCCCCCAGCCTGTCCCTCGAACCCACCCCCGCGGACCTGTCGCCTTTTCCCTGAGGCTTCTCTTCTACTTCTGGGTGGGGAAAGTTCTCTGCGTATAAGGGTCCATGAGATTCTGTTGGGTCCACGCAGATAACCCAGGGCGACCCCCGTCCCAGGGGGGTGTTACCTGCCTGGTGACCCCCTGAATGAGTGATATCCCCCGTGTCCCACCTCAGCCCCGGCCAGCTCCCGGGACTCGCGCCCAGGGCTCTTCCACCTGTCCGTCCGTTGTGGTTGGCCTTCCTCTCCGAATGTTCCGGAACAAAAGCGGGCAGAAGCCTGCACCGCGATGAACGGCCTTGGTTTTACGAGTGAATCTCGGTTGCAGGGAACGGGACGCTGATCGGGGCCTCGGCCAACGTCGTCTGCGCTGGGATCGCCGAGCAGCACGGATACGGCTTCTCCTTCATGGAGTTTTTCAGGTACTTTCCAAACCTGCTTGAACTTGCTGTTTAGAGTCCCCAAGGGTAAGTTAGAAGGGGCAGTGCGTCTCGGTGCAGCTGAGGTTGGCACCGAGGAAGAAGCATTAAGGACGGACCGCTGGGAGCGGCCTCGGGGCGCAGAGGGCAACTTGGGTGCTCCCAGGGCATGCTGGGGGTTTCATATCGCAGTTCTCTCGGAAATCCCACTGGGGTTGCACCTTGATTGTCCGTGACGAGGGTGCATAATGCGTGTCTGATGTCCCCCTCCCGGTGCAAAGGCCCCATTCGAAAGTGCCCGCGGATGCTGCAGACCCAGGTCAGCCCGGGCTCCTCTCAGGAGGACTGTGGGGCTGGGGGCTCCCAGGAGTGGGGTTCGCTAAAGATCTGTCACGCCAGCTCTGGCGGAGGGAACCACGGCACCCACGCAGGCCGCAGCCCCGCTCAGGCCTCTGCAGGGCTCTGCTCGCCTGGGCCGGGCTTGGGGACAGAACCTGGAGCCACACCCAGGTGAGGACAGACTTCGGGCCCCGAATATCCTAGAACCTGGCTTTGCAGACTCACTGAACCGCCCTGTCTGTTCACGAGCGAGAGGGATGCTGGCAGCTTTGCTGAGACATGGGTGTGGGAGGGACACTGAGCTGCGGGGACAAGGACCGTGCCCCTCTCAGTGGGACTTCGGGCTCACAGTCGGCCTGATGCTAAGGGACAGGATCCAGACCCTAACACGGGACCAGCTTCTTCCTGTTTGGGTTCTGTCTCTGCTGAGTTTAAAGAAAATAATCTTGTCACTTAAGAATTCTCCTGATGACAACAGTGTTCCTTCCGGCACATGTCACAGGCGCAGGTGACCTACGGCACTCTGCCTTTGTCCCGTCTTTGCTCCAGAGTCATTGAGGGTCCCACCCCAGAGCATAGCTAAGATGGGAGGGAGGGTGCCCTGGCCTGTGTGGCTCAGTGGTTAGAGCATCGGCCGCTGCACCGAAGAAGGGTTGCGGGTTCGGTTCCTAGTCAAGGGCATGTACCTGGGTTGCAAGTTCCATCCCTGGTCCCCGGCTTCGGTGCGGGAGGCAACGAGTCGATGTGTCTCTCTCACATTCATGTTTCTCTCTCGCCCCCTCCCTTCCACTCTCTCTAAAAATCAATGGAGAATATCCTCGGGGTCAGAGACCAGTGCTCTGGGCGGGTCGCGAACTGCAGACAGACTTGGCCCCTCATCCCAGGGCTCCCTCATTCAGCCAGGTCCCCGATTCCCGCAGAGCTGGAAGGCTGTCATTCCAAGGACCCCGGTTTTGTCTGGTACAGTGAACCCCCCACCTGCTGGCAGCTGTAGGCTGGGCTCCAGGCGAGGGACCCTGCAGGCCATTTAGCAGCAGTGGTTGGGCTCTTTGGGTTAATAACCAGGACATCTCCTCGGCTGGAGAGGTGGCCTCCTCGCCTCTTGGTGAGGCCCAGGCCCGGGTTCAAGCCCAGTGGGCGATGTGTAGGCCGCGCGTTTCTCTGCAGCCCGTGAGACAGGGTGAGCAGTTTCGGGGGGAGAGCCGGAGCAATAGTTCATAACTTGGTGGCCTCGGAAAGTGTGCGCACGACCACCAGCCGTCTCCTTAGAAGCTCGTGAGCTGCTGGCCTGAGGAACCACACAGCTGTTCTCGGATGGAGGGAAAGCGTCTCCATAGTTCACGGTCAAGAGCGATGTGTAATTTCTGTTCGGTTCCATCTCTGCTTCTGGCTCTGGCCACTCGTCCCACCAGGTTCCTGCTGCTCAGAAATCAGAGCCGTTTCTCATGAAATAGTCTTGTGACGGTCGTGGGGCCCTTGTTTGTACACGTTCTTACTTAGCACTTATGATGGACGACACTGACTTTTACCTGCCTCCTATAACACTTCTGCCTGTGATGTGCAGTGCAAAATATTGACTTCCTACTTTAGTTTTTAAGTGGCCCTTTGGCTGACTATATAAATCTGCTTTCAAAAGAAAATATGAAAAAGATAAAATATAAATGTAATTCATAATTTCCCCCCTGAGAAATGACCACTGACCATAATGTCCTGTTTTCTTACATTTCCCCCCCAGCAGAGGATATAAATGTATTTGTTAACAGAAATTTTTAATCACTTTGTAGCCTTTGGCTACTTTCACGCTATAGCAGAGAGTTAAGTTGTCAGATCCACAGGACTTCCAAAGATGCAAACAGTTTTTATTAAAATGTAGACAAGGAGACACTGAACTGCAAGTGTGCATGTGTGTGTGTGTGTGTGTGTGTGTGTGTGTGGTAAGTGAGCGTGAGCTGGGTGTGGGGCCTGTGCATATGTGCATGTGTGTGTATGTGTGTGGTGTGCATGAGTGTGTATAGGTGCATGTCCATGTAAACATATGAGCTTACATATGTGCATTTGTGAGNGTGTGCATGAGTGTATGTAGGTGCATGTCCATGTAAACATATGAGCTTACATATGTGCATTTGTGAGTGTGCCTGTATGAGCGCTGTGTATGTGTGTGCATGTACAGGTGAGTATATGCATGCACGTGAGCCTGTGTGCATCTCTGCACATGTGTGTACACACACACGGTGCACGTGACTATAAATGCACACATACATATGACTCGCATGTGTGCAATCACATGCATNCATGCACACATACATATGGCTCGTATGTGTGCAATCACATGCATGGGTGTGTGAGTATGCAGGTACATGTGTGAAGTATATTATGATTTGGTGTGCACACATGTATACCTGTGAGTGCATGCACATGTGTCCCACATGTATGCATGTATGTGTGCATGCATGCTCATGTGTGCACCTGTGTGTGCTTATATAAGACAGAAATTGCAACCACACATTGTCAGCTGAATTTCCGTCTTGTCTGCGCGAGTCCTGTCTGAATTAATGCCTCGGCGAAGGAAACGCGTTCCCTGAAAATGAGCTAATTAGTCTTGCTCACCTTGGATAAAATAAATCTCCATCTCACGAGTGAGCATAAGCTCTAACACAAGACAAATACACAGAAACCTGTGCTTCTCCCATGCGGCGGCGGGTCTGGAAGGCATGCCTGTGGAAGGGGTTTTGTGTTTTAAAAACAATAATTTATGAAGTATCAGGGACAGACCACTCGAGACCTTGTTCAGAGACGTCACGTACTTTCCGGGAGAGGGCGGGAGCCGGCGCCTCTCCAAGCGCAGCAGGCGTTTCCCTCTGTGCTGCCTGCGCCAGAACCGGGACCCCACCCCACAGGCCTTCGATTGCCGACGTCACGGCGCATCCTGAGATACTCCGGGAGGCAGTTAGTTGATCCCAGCGGTGCCTGGTACCTAAGACGGTAACGGTGAAGAATAGGCCGAGGGCCGAGCAGTTCGTCTTCTGTGGATGGTCTGCACATCTAAGCTGTTTATTTTTTTTCAGTTCATGGGCCTTGCTTGAGGTCATTTTTGTTGTTGTTAATCTTCACCGGAGGATATTTTTTCCATTGATTTTTTTTCTTTTAGAGAGAGGGAGAGGGAGGGGGAGAGAGAGAGAAATACGGGTGTGAGAGAGACACATCAGGTGGTTGCCTCCCGCCCACGTCCTGACCAGGGCCGAGATTGAACCTGCCACCCAGGCACCTGCCCTTGACCAGGNTGGAGGATATTTTTTCCATTGATTTTTTTTCTTTTAGAGAGAGAGAAACACGGGTGTGAGAGAGACACATCAGGTGGTTGCCTCCCGCCCACGTCCTGACCAGGGCCGAGATTGAACCTGCCACCCAGGCACCTGCCCTTGACCAGGAATCAAACCTACGCCCCTTCCATGCCCAAGCCGATGCTCCAACCCCTGAGCCACACTGGCCAGGGCATCAGACTGGAGATGATTTTTA